GAGCGCTATTGGGTCCAGCTAGTAACCAGGATGTCGAGGTACTCAACTCTTTCTTCCGAAAGAGATTTGTGGAATGAACACCACCGCAGATTCTCAGAAATATTGAAAACAGCATTTGAGCTTCTCGTCTTCGCTCGATTTCACTCGTGGAATGACATCTCATTTTACCACTTTGTTTCGTCTATAATTTCTAACTCTCACTGGATTCTGTATAAAAAATAGACTAAAATGTGGCAAATGCCGTATATGAAGCGGCCTTTTGCAGCACAATTGAGAGCAACACCACCACAAGGGGGAAAGCATTTCTGATTCAGCCTAGCTTACCGTTAAAAACAAAAGTGTGTGCAAGACTCCGCGAACAGCCTTCAGTTTGGCTGTCATTTTTGATACACTAATGTTTCTAAGACGGCGCTCTGCGGGTAGCAAAGCGGTTGCAACCGGCAGACCCAACTCTGCAAGAATAAACACAGCTCTCCATGGGTAAAGTAACTGAAGTTACCAGGATACTCTGAAACCTCAGCATCTGCCTTTTGGACTCAGCCATTCAATCTAAAAAATGAGGCCTAGCCGCGGGACATGATATGTTCTTAGTTTTGGTTTCTCTGTGTATGCAGTACTGTAAACAAAATGCATTGGACGGATTCGAGTATCCACCGTGAGTCCTTTGACGATACGATAGACCTGATACTGTAAACAAGTTCTGCCGGTATTCTAGTACCTTGGAACTCCACTTGGGATTGACCATGTAGCTACAGTTCACTTTGTTGGTGGTGTGAGGAGATTTGGGATTTTGTGGAGATTTCGTCCTGTAAGCGAAGCTAATCTACGCATAGATTGGTAGATGGTAGATGTTCTGGAAAGCCTGTAGTACCAAGATGCCAATAGTTCTGTCTGAGGACATGCCCCAAAACTTCTGATACCATGGCTCGTCGGAAGCTGTATTAGAAATACACTGAATACGGTGCGTTCCCAAACAAATCCGCGTATCATTCAACTGAACGTTTAACACAATCAACGCATCTACGTTTCAGCGATCTACGGGAGTGAAATAATTCAAAGCAGTGTGTGCAAGAAAGCCACACAGATTGCACCATCTTTTAATCTAAAGATTAGTTCCAGAGGTTAGTATAGTCTGCAAATCTGTGTGGCTTATTTTTGTCGATGTTGAGACTTGAGTTCAGAGGCACGTGGAGGAAAAGACAGGCCATAGGAAGATAGTGAATTTCGCACAGCTCGCCTGTCATCCTGTGGTTAAAATAATGTTTACTGTCAATAAAACCGCACTGTTTGTTTGTTGTTCACAATCTGGTTGGCCTGTTACTTCCGTTGGGATGAAATAGATGTACCTGTCACATAATATCCCAACTGTTCTTTATTCTTGCTTTACTGCGGACTTCTCCGCGGAATACCGATGACATTTAGATATGTTCGTTATGGGATGGCAATCAAACTTTAGAAACCCAGGCTTGGTAACACAGTACCAAACCAAAAGCCGGAAACGAGCCATGCCGCGGTCACAGATTGAGCGTACAGGCCACCTTATTGATAGTGTATATCGCGCCTATTCATTAATGAACAAATTTAGTGTGTTAGAGGCAAGAGGCCTGAACATAGAAGCGCTGGGAAAATGAATAAATTGCCGCAGGTTAAATGTTCAGATTTGGGGATCAGTGAAATGAAGAGACGAATAAATCACAGAGCATTTTACTTCATACAGATCAAGTACCATGTGAGCTCCCTATAAAAACAGTTTGGAACCAAATGGCACGTTCCTAATATTGGTTTTCGATCCTTAGTTGCTTCCATCAAATTTCCACTCAAAAAAGGTCGTTTTCTCCTCTGTATTACCATCTTACGACGAGCTTTCTATATGTTCGCTAGAAAAAATATTTCCACAGGACTTGGTTTTGATGATGATAGTAAAGCGATGGAAACGTTCCCGTACCTTTCGGTAACCGGCATGAAATTTGAGAATTCCGTGGCACTCGCGAGTTGCCTGTTCTTGCGAAGTATTCAGGTGCTTCAGAATGAGGATTTGGTACTTTTCGTTGCACTAAACGTATAAGCCTTTGTTGGCTCGCATTTTTGGTGAAAAAGTACGCAAAAGGCTGGCGCGAAAAATCGACTTTCTGGTCTTCCTGAATGCTGCTTTTTTACACAGGAACTTTGGAGAAAGAGGGAAATTCATCCATGAGTTATCAGTTTCAAAGATGATTTAACGGTGTCAAGATGAAACGATTTTATTTGGATGCTTTGATCTTACTTTGGGGATAAACGTGCGTTTACTGTCGTGGGTTATCTAATTACGGTGGACAGCCAACTTGAGTTCTTCTACAACAATGACATCAAGATTGCGGTGCCAATGTTACCGCACCAGAAATTATTCCTGTGCATCTTGGCTTGCTGTTATCCAACTGCAAGTTGTAGTGCTTAAGCAAATAGAAACAAGCTGCGATATTTTAGGCCTGTTTGGTGCTAACAGGCTCGGGATGTTACCAACACAAAGCCATTTCCCAGTGGACATTTTTGGCATATACAGGCATTCTTCCAGCGGTTAGTGCTAAGTTTTTTCTTGTGGCAGGAACCGAGAAGTCCAAAAAATGCACAATGTACCAGGTTTATTAGAAGAAATCAGTCAATGCTAGCTGAAGAAACTTATACTTTGTTAAAGAAACTGATGCTGCATTGATTCTCGCAATGCCACAATAGGTTATTCGAGCACGTATGCTGGTGTGTAATCAAACTCGCACTTGACGGGGTGCTATGTTCTTGCATGCGGGTTCACTATTAGCATCCCACACAGATAGATTTGATGAGCTAACCTCCTTAATATGTCCCTTGTTCGAAATGCTCATTTCTAAATTGGATGACATTGTCATCAGCAATGTGTGGAATACTTAGGTATGCGCCTTACTAGGTTTCTACAACTCGGTAGAATAGCAGAATCTACTTGGGTTTATCCGACAAATCATAAGGGATGGGAATTGCTCTCTTCAGAACAGTAATTCAGTGAAGAAAAACGCAACCACGGGTTTTATATACTCGCTTCTCATGGCGAGGGTTATTTCTCTGACAACACCAACTTCAAGCCAAATCTGCTGAGGTAGTAGTGAAGTAGTCTTAACTTGAGGGTAGTGCCTCTCGCTCAAGGGTAAAAACATGCGTCTTTGTCTGACATCTGAAGCAATCTGCGCGACCAATAGGTGTCTGTACGTGCGGTTTGTGCGAGGCCAAATGTGGAGCTGCATGTGATCCACTGGTGTTCAGCTAAACCCAAGAAAGGTCGAATAGAATACGTCTGCTGGGGGCCCCCAGCTGACCTCGGCAGGAACATATTACAGCGAGCAACAGTACTCGTTCTATTTCGTTAAGGAGTTCGCGTAGTCCATCAACGCCTTCGAGTTGTGGAGTATCTTCCAAATGATTTACCTTTAACTATGATTTTGGGGTTTACCTCTTACTGGATTTGAGGATCCGTCAGTAACTGAGTACTCCAACATCTTTTAGTGATATAATTTAATGGTATAATAGTGGGGTCGGATATACACTGATCAGAGATAAAGGCAACTTGCTAGTGCATCCGGAGTCGCCCAGAGTAAGCCTGGCGACAGTCAATGGTCAGCGAGTTCCGTCCCACTCAAGTGTGTGTTTAAATGAAAGGAATCCAGGACGTAGATCCGGATGTAAGAATGTGGAGGGCGCAGAAAGCCAGCCTCAAAAATCTTAAAACTGGATGCGAAAACGTAAGAACTTCTCATCAGAGCTGACAGCCAGAAGTACTAGCCAACAAACCGGTCTCTGTATTAAAACCTAACTTTCCAAGTGAGAATGTCAAATTTTTCTAATGAATGCGCAAATTTCTTTCTGTTATGCAGAGATGGTACGGCGGGAGCTGCTGAGAGCAATAATGAGAATGGCGACTACTTGCCTCTGACAAAAGACATTGAATTCCAGCCTGGCGTTTCTTCCCATCTTATCAGTATACAGCTGATACACCGTAAACCAGTAAGTGACCAACTGATCTTTTAACAGTATGGAGGTGACGTTAGCTTCTGAGAAGAGCAAAGGTAATTTCGCATTTATTTTGAAGTTTCCTTGAAATTAGTTTTGTCTTCTACCCTTCGAAGACCAGTCTTTGGATGCCAGCCTGTCGGATGAATGTGAAATGTTAAATACAGTCGATGCGAACATCATTCGGGAGATACTTTGACAAGCTTAAATGGGTGACTGTGCTGGATTCGTTTGAGTCTGCTGTCAAAACCAAACTCATATTTGGTGAATGCCGTAATTTGATGCATATTGTTACATTCTGCTTGCGTTTATCTGATGTATCTATGCGTCTATTTGCGATAACTCTTCGAACACTCGGAATGCTAAAACAGGAACGATGCTGGTGGTGATTATTTAGCCACCACTGTAGAGACTTGGCTTAACGACAGCTAGTAATGGTTAGTATATGTGTGTGCCCAAAAGGAACTGGAGATTAAATCAGTATAGTTTATTCACTGAACGATACTCGGGATTGTACTTGTAACATGGTTTCTCTTATCAGGCTAGTCAGTTGGTAGCGAGTCCACTAACAGCCTCCGGCCCTACGTGTTTCGCAGCTTGCTTTCTAGGAATGCTGACTGTTCTGGCGGCCCGATGCCTATCCAAACAGCTCCGCGATCAGAAATTTTAATCAAAATCTTTGACTGAGGATCCTCATCGTCTTCTTGCCTATGTCTTGAAATTCCGACAGTATTTAAGTTCATACACAACCAACAGTCGCACAACTGCTAGTACCTCTATGGTGCATCGGCTGTCGCGTGGTGCCATCGGCCATGTCGCCTTATTTGATGTATGTAGACAGGTGGGTGAGCGAAAACACGGTAGTGATGGCGCCTTTATTCTTGCTGCGCCACATATACGTTCCAGCCCCTCCCCGCACCCTGTGAATGACACGACACTCAGATAGGATAGTTCTTAAAACGGCAACTTTGGTCCGCCACTCAACGCCCATAGCTGCGCTGTGTACCGTCAAGAAAATTTAAAATTGGTATTCCAACCAAAAAATTCAATTCATCATTAAGCTTAGCACTTCGCAGCAAGCCAGATGACCAATCTTTCTGGCACGTACGCCCTTGGTAGCCTTCGGCAGCTCTGTTCTAATGTTTTGCATCTGCCTGTTTTCACTTACTTCAACGAATGCAGTGTCCGTTTTTTTACTGTTTATCTGTCATTTGGCCCACACAACGTGATGCTGTAAAATTCTGATTCTATTTCCTAATCCATTACTGTTGTGCCTGTAGACGTGAACTACTTTCAGATTCATTTCTCATGTATAACTTTTGTTGCAGAACAACCGATACTTCTTTGCAGAGCTTCGAAATCCAAGAGGAAACTGCAAGCTCGGTGAACACAAGGTGGCAATCTGTTACCTCAACTCAGGTAAGGAAGCTAAGACTCAGCTTGTGTTGCAACTTCGAAGCCAGTCAAGGTTAGCACCCGAACAAACAACTAACATACTTGCAAGTTGTGTTACCCAACCCTATTTAGAGAATTCGACTAGGACTTTCATAAAATCTTGGCATTAAGATCCACAATTTGTCATCTGAGTTCAAGACCGTTTGTGCTGGCTTTTCTCTGCTATCGTGACTTTCAGAAGCCTTATTAAAAAATGAACGAATTGACGGTGAAAGAAACAAACGCGACATTCGTTTTCAAAGTTGAGTGATTTATCTCTGTACTGCTGGATCACTGATCTTTGTCATGGTTTTAATCGGGAAATCTGGTAACTTTCAACCGCACCAGTGACAGTTGTTGGAAATCTGTACAGAGTTTGGGTGTACTTGCAGTAACTTAGGCTTCCTACCCTCACACCTAACTTTCAATAGCCAACTGAAAATACAGCTGGATAACTATCGTTTTATATCGTCGTTATATCAAAAATAATGAAAGACGTTTAAAAATTACTTATCAATTAAACTACCGTTTTACCTGTTGATTTCACAGCTATACAAGTAATGAAAAAGGGTCTTAAGACTGTCTTGCCAAAATATTCAGCAATTACAACGCTCTGAATAAAATTTGATATGCTCGAGCGAGTTCCGTAAAGCTATAGCAGCTGTTTAGTTTATATTTATTCGTAACAAAACAAAACAACTCTTTTCTGACTGTTCACAAACCAGAGCTAGCAAAATGTGATTCGACGCAATACGAACATTCTCACCTTTAGCATCATCTAGTTCTTACTAAAGAAAACCCCTAATCCGCGCTTCTTTTTCTAGCCAATGTACTCTACTAATAAGACTGGAGTGTTTTTTCGAATTAAATAGTATGAGACAATTGCTCAGAATCACCAAACATCCCGCTACCTGTTTTGTTCTAGTTGCGGCTCAGCAGGTAGACGTAGCCGTGAGAAGCTGAGGCAGTCAACCCATGATTTGAACATAAATTTACTTAGGTTCTCACTTTAAAGCTAGTGCAAACGAAGAGTGTTCTATGACAACAGACTTTGTGATGTCCCATCTGTTCTTTGAAATTTCGGAAATAACTCTTACTACATATTTTGATACTTAATTCGATACTTACTTACTAGATAATTCGAAAAAAAGAATGTTTTTGTAGGGGATGCTCGAGACAGTCTGTGTGCTGCACATTTTCGGAAGAATACTAGTGCATTATTTGGATCCCCAGCTCCAAGAATTTTAGTACACATATTTCAATACACATATCCTGCGAGCGAGCATAAAAAGTTAATATTCAAACGAGTAAGTCGGGTCGTTACTTAGTATAGCACAACAACACAATGGAGTTTGATTGACGAATGACTTGTGTGCAAGACCCCCCTGTTTTATATATAAATCTGTTTCACGCTTCTTATTTCGCAAAAATTTAATAAATGCAACTACTTTACTTTGTGGAGGTGCGGACCCTTACACAAGCGTCCCAATCTCAACTGAGGCTTTTAAAATGTACGCGGAATGAGTATACGTGATCATTTGGATTCCTGTTTTGAGCTGTTTCACACCCAATAAAAGCCTATCTTTTTTATTAAAAATTCTATTTTCAACCATAATCATTCATACATTGTGATTTTTTGTGACTTTGTTGCATGTGCCCTCAGCTCACCAAGATTGTCTCTCGGTTTCTGGCTGCTTGTTTGATGTAAAAGGAAGAACCACCCAGACGGGGTGACGCATCCATTAATGAATACTTTAACTCTAATGTGACTTATGAAAATTTTATTACTATCTGTTAACCGGTTGGGTTATCGTTTATAGCCTTCCTGTGTGGAAATCTTACACACTTCTGTACATCCATCAGAAAGCTTGGTTGGGGTCTGTGGTTATCCGGAATTAATCCATATAAGACTGAATAAAATTCCGACGCTGCCTCCTGATGACCCCTTCAATGAAATTTTCTGACAACCGGGAATGAGAGGTGCCAGAGATGTATCATTCGGAAGAAACACTTTTGTTTGTTGTGGGAGTCTGTCACGAACACGTAAACAGCAATCACATGTCTTGATAGTCCAGTTCTCAGACAGCTTGATCTGTACTCTCTAATGTGCTTGGTTAGGGGCTGAATTTTGTCAAAATAACTCCGCGGAACTTGAACCTGTTGGAGCATGCTGATCGCCCAACGTGTTACTTCAGTCAGTCAGTCAGGTTAGCGCAGTGAAATGTAGTGAAATGTAAGCGAAAACTGACGATATTCACCAGATTTCGGAGCTCCTTCGTCCACGCTGAGAATGCAGCCAGCTGGCGCACTCTAAATAAAATAGTCGCTAGACTACTGATGGGTTGACAGTAGGCTATCGATGGAAAATCTACTGGCTTTCCCCTCACTTTGAGTTACTTCAACCATAGATGAGAAACAGTGCAACAACTCGATATAAGAGCCTGTTAAAGTACAGCAGAATATTCCCTTGGATGAATAGTTACATTTCATTACAGTTTCGTTTAGTGTCAACGAAAATGGAAGCTAATCCTTCCTATCTTATTGGCTTTTGCTTTACGGACACCACAGGCACGCATAACAGTCGGAGTTTCCACAGCTTGGCAGCAGAGCAAGCTAGTACTCCGAGTCCCAATTTGAATTATTAGCTTTCGGCACAAAATGATTGGTTTCGGATTTTCGTGTCTGTAATTCAGGTTTGGCGTAATCAGTAGTGATTTGTTAGTGGCTGCGGTCATTTCTTTCGTGTAAAATGTCCTGGTTTCTGCAATAAACGAGACAAAGATGTGAAAACAACCTATTTCATAGGGACTCTTTGAAGACAGCAAACTCAGTGTATTCTATCAAACTGAACTCTACTACTACGAAGGCGATCACCCCAACTAATGAAAACAGATTTTTGATAAAATATCGTTCAATGATGACCATATTGACTTGAGTTTTCCAGTAGCTTGTAAATTCTCGAGTGTAACCCTTACCCCAAAAGCTCTGTTGTTATATCTTTGCCCAAAACATAGCTTTTTCAACGGCTGTTTGCGGAATTTAATTTATCCATCCATGCTAAATCAGCTAGACAACAAAGGGGGCCAGCTTCGTTACTGATATTGGCTTGGACTGAGATGTCCCTGTCTGCATGCACAATCATACGACTGGGTCATTTGCAATGAATGAGTTTTTGGTATCCCTAAATTTTGGGAACGTTATCTTGCGTGGCTGAAACATTTGTGTCGAGACTGAGGACAAAATGCTCAAATGGCTCTGATTCTTGGCTCCATTAGCTGCTAAATAATAAATAATAGTTCTACAATTCACGAAAAATTGTAGAGTTTTACCTGATTAGCCGCCGATCGTCACGCATGATCTGCATGCTAATCAGACTAGTCGTACAAAACCTTCAGGCTGTCCGCCACTAGACATTTGGTTAGCTTGTTAGACTAAAATTGACGCCTAAAAAAAATTGTAGATTTTACCTGACTAGCCGCCGATCGTCACGCATGATCTGTATGCTAATCAGACTAGTCGAACAAAACCTTCAGGCTGTCCGCCACTAGACATTTGGTTAGCTTGTTAGACTAAAATTGACGCCTAAAAAATCAAACTCAACATCTTCACAAACTGTGTGGTGGACGCGCTATCCAAAGTAGCGGTCTGGAATCGTCAATAAAATAGTCGAGCGTCTGATTCCGTTAATTTTATCTGCTGAATTTCAATGAGGGTGCTCGCTCCTCTGAGCTTTACAGGATCCGATTACACTTTTAATCTAATTCACTGTTAGGTCTTCAACAGTCTCTTCATTAGATGACAGTGCACCCTTTAAAGTGTCGAGATAACCCGTAAGGTACGTATATTGTGGAATGGTGCTGCCGTAAAAATACGTATTTCAGGAATTCCTGTAAATGATGAAATTCTTCAACTGCCCTATTTATTGTTGTCAAGAGTGTTACTGTAAAACTCTTCTTTTACTATCCGGTCATCACCACATCGATGCAGCTTCTGCGGTGTGGTTTGAAGCAGTCAGTATATTCGACTCTTGTCAAATCCACATTTAACCCGGAGTTCTGTAACCTTGCTATTTCTCAACGGCCTAATAAAGTTCGCACCACTCAACTGTGTTTGAAGGCAGGGGGATCATTCCTGGAAATTTGAGGGTTGTGCTGTCGTGACTGCACTCAGTGTACCGACACGAATGGAGTGTAAAGAAGCAAAATCTGTTTTTTCCTATTACCTCGCAATCCTGCATTCATCAAACGATATGTGAAGTTGGTCAATACACCCATTCACAAACCGAGTTGGCGTTAAAATGAACCTCAGATGAATCACAATCGAATCTCTGACTTGTGATATTATTTAACTGAATGCGCTGCGTTTCTTCAGGCGAAGAATGTGAAGCTGCTTTTTTGTGGTAGAAATCTGACATGAACATCTGTTGCTGAGCCTTGCACTACACGTATGCTATGGTTTTATCCATTGCGTTTGCTCACGACCAGAAGCCACGATCTTTTGAGGGGAAACCCAAATCCAGACGATACCAATTTCTTCGGATGCCGACTGCAGAGTTCATGGTTAGCTTCAATCTTACGTTGATCACCAAAAGCACAACAGACGGGCTCCGGAAAAGGTGTGATTCATTATCAATGTATTATTTCTGCTGCAATATTGCAAGCGAATGTTTACTGGCATTTGTTTAGAAGTTAACCTTAGACTTAAACGAAAAGCTCGGATGTATTGTATGTTGGCGAGAAGATGGACTTCCTGCAATGGAATTACCTATCGAATTTCTGCTTACGAGAAAAAAGTTTCATCTGAACGCTACCTCACACCACACTCATGCGTCAGAAGTTCACATGTAATTCTCCGCACATCAGTAAGGGATTGTCCAGGATTTTATTCTTTATCCTATATAACTAGCAGAGCAGCTAAACCTACGTATTCGTACAACCTATGAGACTTGGGACAGCATGCGCATTAGCTATGCTTGTGCACCATCTACTAAGTAAGAGGTGAGTAGTTTGTTTCGTCCTTCGGCATCCGGAAACAAAGCCAAGGCTCTCATCTCCCGCAATCCAATAATGTTGGTGGTCTACTTGGTGGCCTACTTATCATCTTCCATATCCGACTGCTCCCTCGTAAACACCTTTGTCAGGTGCGGTAGAAGAACCTAGATGACCTTCTCGTTATGATCCTCATCAACGAAATGTATCCTACAAGGCTGTATCATCATTTCCTGGGGTTGGTATTCAGCATACCAAGGTAGTTATTTTCAACCGACATAAACTATAGAAGTGATGAAAATGCCACAATATTTCAATAATGTTCCATGCAACTTAGGTTTCTCTGGGAGCCTAGGAGTGCAAAAATAAAATTGAGCTTTAGATTAGTGTGTACCAACATTATAAATCGCCTGGTGTTATCAGACTTAAGAACCAACAACAATGTTGCTTACGAGTGTGAATCAGACCTTTATACTGACAAAAGGTGGATAGGTTGAACAAGAAAACACTCGTTTCCACAGTTCTCTGAGGCCCACAGTGTTTCCCTGCGCTTGATCAAATGATCCATGTGGCTCATTCGGTCATTACCGTGCTCAGAACAAAAAACTTGACAACAAATTTCCTGGATGATAAACAAACAGTTAATGATATTTCTTTCCAACTCTGCACATCCAAATGAACACCTTTTCCGATGTAATGCTTCATCTAGTTTGCGAAGGACTTTGATTACCTGTGGTGTACTTTTAGCACTCTCATGTATGGGCATCCAAGGTCAGTGATTCCAATGATCTAGAAAACCGGGTGCTAAAACTCATGGAAAGACAATGTTTGGAAATGTCTAGCAAAACAAGCAGTGTCACTTTACCAAATTTTTGTGATTGACAACATCGAGTACAATGAAATCATAATTTTCTTTTCAGTGGACGGTGCAGCAGACGCTCAAGATGTGGTGGAAGGTGACATTAGCTGGTCCGATCAATTCCGGATGTAAGTAACTTGGAAATGTTACTGAGGCTTTATCCCTAGACCGGAAACTAAAGTTGGTCCACAAGGTGTGCGGAAGCATAGTGAAAAAAGGCAGAGAGCAGCGCTTCCCATAAATATTTCACTGTGTATCTGTGTAAGGCGCGATCGCTTTTTATACGGAGCTTCAAACCAAGATTAGAAATGATCGGAACGTAGAAAACTTTATTGCAGAGTGCTTCCAAAACAGGAACCACAGAATAAATTGTTTCAATGCTTTCCAATAAGTTCAAATCATCAGACTCTAAAGCGACGTTCAATCGGACAGTGTTCGCCAGTAAACACGAATACTCCGGTTTAAAACGAAGCCAAATCACTCCACCGAAAACCTTGTGTTATTCATGTTCACAGCATTCTTCCTTTAACTTTGATTGATTCGATTTGTGCATTTTATTGAGTAGTCTTCCTCTTATTATGGTGCCATTATTCTAGTAAGTTCATACAAACGAGGAGAGCACTGAACTCAATCTGCCCTCTTATTAGAGCTCATCACTGTACATAGCCTTGCCTTTGCCGTGATTTGAAATCCGGACTCACCAGAACAATTGCACCAGAAGCAGATAAGGAGTGTTCAAAAGTGAGAAATCCAAACGACTTTTAATCCATTTTGACTAGGTTGCGTTAGCAAGAGTGCTATTTTAGAGTTTGATTCCGTTAGTTCCAACGAAACTATGTGACTCTTATGAAGGAAACTACTCAAAGGGTTGCTCAAAACTCTTCGACAGCCCACGACCGGTTATTCAGAAATAGTGGTTGGTTTAAATGTCTAACCTTGTGTTGTTTGACACGTCTTGATGAAATCTCTTACATTCTTGTGAATTGCTTTAATCAGGGAATTTTGAAACGTTGAGGCGAAACATTGAAAAAAGTGGGGGAAATTAATTGCTGTGTTGTGCCTCTTACTTCACTTTTGTCCGTTAGATTCCCATGGCCCACCGCCTGCTTGAAAAAAAGGCTGACAATGGGTAATTCCGAGCTCTGCCTTGATCGGAATATCGCATCGTATAGCAAATCTAGCTCAAGTAAAGTTCCCACGGCCAGTAGCGACTCTGGACCAGGTCGTGTTATTTCGTCCTANGTTCCAACGAAACTATGTGACTCTTATGAAGGAAACTACTCAAAGGGTTGCTCAAAACTCTTCGACAGCCCACGACCGGTTATTCAGAAATAGTGGTTGGTTTAAATGTCTAACCTTGTGTTGTTTGACACGTCTTGATGAAATCTCTTACATTCTTGTGAATTGCTTTAATCAGGGAATTTTGAAACGTTGAGGCGAAACATTGAAAAAAGTGGGGGAAATTAATTGCTGTGTGTTTATATAGATTACACATTTCCTAACCTGGTAAAAGTCAACTGCCCTTGGTTGCGTTAGCGAACACAAATGATCGCGATTCTTATGCAACTAGCATATTTCTGGTTCATTTTTGTGGTTATGTGAGTAAGACAAACGCCGTAGTTTCTTGTTTATCGCCTAAACTTTGCTGATAAGAACAGCTTGCTAACGTTCCCATCACAGCATCGTTGTAAAAAAACTGGACACTTTTGTGTTAACTATCGGAGCCCGACTGCGGTTTCTTGTAGTGTTTAGTCTAAAAGATAACTTCACTAACTGATAGCACTAGAAAGCAAGTAATTGCCTAGATAATTACTTGTAAAGAAAAACGGAACAAATTTAAATATATTTTGTTGTCAAATTCCTTTTTAATGTCATCCAAATTTAACAGTAACCTTAATTTCCAGGGCAATCACGCTTATTCCCAGCGTGGATGAAAACGGTATACAAGTCCCCCTGACGAATATGGATTATGCGCTACATGGAGTCACTTTCTTCTGGAAACTACTCAGCGCTTTCCTTCCACCAAGGTAAGAATACCGTGCATGTTTGAATCTACGTACAGCTAACCGGAGGTACTGGGACCATATATTTTCGGGGTTAAAAGAATCGCCCAGAAATCAATAAATCATGTGGGAAGCTACAAACACTTTTAGGCGCTGGAGGTGTACATCTTAACATCGCCAGTATTTCTGACAATCAGAACTAGGCGCCGAGATTTTCTTCAAACCAACTTAAAGTGAAACACATGGATGCTTCTGAGTATGCTTGTCAGCACACGTAAATTTCTACTGTGGAACTTAATAATTCATTATTGCAATCCAACTGCCAAGCTCGGTGAACAAACCAACAACCACTTATTAAGTTCCTTCGCCTGTTTATTAAATTGTTGTTCTCCATAAGTACGATACGCGAATAGCAGAAAATATAACGCTTAATTTTTGCATCTATACTACACAAGGAACTAAACTACTTCAACTTGTAAGTAAAGCCAATCTACACTGTCGATAATTCCCCAAATGAGAGACAGCCAAAGACCGTTCAATATAACCATATAATTACACACACAAACTGCACGGAGCTCTGGCTCGACCAATGAGAGAGCACGTGGGAATGTCCAAAAGCGACTAAACTGTAAAGTGTTGAAACACCTCTAGAGTCTCATGGTGGGAATAGGTTTGATTGGATGCATAAAACCTTAATCTCATGGGCTTCGAGAGCTTTACGGGGTTTGGGTAGAAACTTCCACGACCCATGGTAGACATCTGAAGGGGTTAAGCATAAATCCCAGTTAAAATACATTGCAAAACAGGGGGCACGTCTTCCCCACCAAGACAAATACTTTGGAAAATTTCGAACCGACTATTTTCCAAGACCCTCCGAAACCATATTTTCCACGCGCTAAACATATAATGCGTATGCATTCCTAAAGCAAACAGAAGTCCTTCATCCTGATATTTTCTGGCGTACTCATAAGATGACATTTAGTGTCGGCACTGGAAAGCTATTGCAACAAATCATAGGGTAAGGTAGGTTATTGGTAGAAAAAGTTTGGGACCGATTGATAAGTCATCGTTTCAGAAGAGCTTGGTACAAAATCGGTAGTTGTTTATTTGAACAACGTTTCGTTTTTGACACAAAAGCTTCATGAGGCCAAGCGAGCAAGTCACTAAATTGACCAGGTTATAAGGCAGACAGGGAACCAATCAGTGAGTCCTCTTCAGATCATCACAGAACATTATTCTAGGAGATTTTCAAGCAACGCAAATCACAAAACGTTTTATTTTAACGGCAAATTTCGTAACCTATTAACTGATGCACAGCTGTATCTTTTGAATATCTGCGTTTTTGTTGTTTTGGACGCATATAGCCGGGTTACGGTGAAAAAGAGGAAGGCTTTCGCCGCAGAGTTCTTTATTAAGGAAACACCAACTGAACAGTTACAGACTATTGGTCGGGGGAGCAAAACTCTCATACGCATCTTGTTAACAAAACTGAATACCCATCTCCTCCTTAAACCCGTACTCCTGAACGTTCCTGGATATTGACTGTTTCTCAAATACAAGCAAATACTACAAATCGGCTACACAAATTCCGTTATAGATCTCACTTTTCAAGAGATGTGAAGCATATTTACGAGAATGCACTACTCATCAGTAGTATCCACCGTCATAACGAAAGTTCACAATTAATGGGCTTCCATAAGAGCCGTTTTGATCCAGTCTACTGCAAAATTCTCACCATTAATACGTAAAAAGAATACGCCCAAGGCGTCGGAAAAACTTACAATAGAAAGAAATAGCACTTACAGGCCATAGAGTTTTCAGGGTCAAGCCAGTCCGGGTGCTACTGAAAGTTTTTCGCATTGTTTGCATTTTGTCCCTAGTCAATCATGCTGGCTACTTGTTGCCTTGTTGTTCATTTTCAGAAAGTACTTGGGAGGCTATTTGACCTTTTGTTTGTCCCTTATCTTCATTGGAATCTTGACGGCTATTGTGGAGGAGGTAAATTGAAGCACTTTTGTCGTTTTTTGCGGAGTTTAATTTCCGCGTTTATGTACGTTCACCTGCCTACTATAAGGCGTGACCAGATGAAAATAGATGATAGACCATTGCTTTGCGTAATACGGGCACAAAAGTGGAACACTGGGTGTGGTTAAGGACTAGAGACCAAAAGATAAACAGCCAAATGACTGTCAACCCATCCAAAATAGTTAGATAAAAGTGAATTATCGCTTTCCTGAAACGGGAAAAATGTAGTCCTAAAATGCGTACAGCTTCATGTTGCAAAACAATTTCGAGTAGCCCCAGGTGCAGCTGAATCAAACAGAAAGCCTGAAAATGGTACGTTAGTTGCTAGACAATAATGCGTGCGGAAATCCGACAGCGGTAGCTGACATGGAGGTTTGGTTGTTTTGAATCTTTCAAAAATACAGACACCTAATAAAGGCTGATTCACGAGGGAAGGAAGTGGCTATCAGTTCAGTTGAGAAAAAATCATCATTTTGATCGGTAAGCGAAGTTGAGTATTCACAGGACTTCAGTTAGTAAAATACTGAATTGTGCTAGTGAACAGCTTTTTACAGTACGAGAGTAGTTAAGTTATCTAGATGGCATAGTGGTTCATGGTGATTACAGTACCTATCGAAAGGAGAAAATAAGCCAGACATACACCAGAACAAAAGGTCGTAACACCGTGTTTGTCCATTTCGAGGAAGAGTGTTAGGTCATAATGACATATAAGGCAACCGCATCAATCAACTGAAGACCTCTGAAAGTGGTTATATAGTTGCGCGTTTACGTGGGGCCAAAGTACATTGGTCGATTTTCGAAGGAAGCTTACACACCAAAATGTGGATTTACTTGACGATCACAGAGATTTAGTTTGAAAACAGATTAAGCCTTTTGGGCAAAAGACAGTTAAACTGATGCCTTTACTTATAAGACTCTCGAAATGCAGGTAATCTATTAGCTAATCTCGCAGTCCAGAAGAGGTAGCATCCTAGTTACAACACATCACTACTGGATTCGTTAAGCCCATATTGAGAGGAGCTGACCATGCCGATAGCTGAGGAAACGTTTGATCATGTTAGTCTGTGGCGCAAAACATGTTCCACCTAACTTGCAAATCCATAGTTTCTTCGATAAATGAACCAAATACCCACTATGATCCAATTACACACGCATCACTACGACTAGATGTTTCAAAAAATGAATGGCCCTCATAATCATAGGATTCACGAGCCTAGCAGTATCGCGCTACTGGTCGTCCCTAGTGAAAAGTAAGCCCTAAAACGTTTGCTTACCGCGTTCTGTAAAATCAATCCCTACAAGGCACAGAGCTACTGATTTCCAAAATGAAGAATTCTGTGACTCTGGCATGATAGGCAGATTCGCTGTTTCCAAGGTGATCTAGCTGGCCCCAGGATCTCTTCAAAAATTGGGACCCGTGGAGTAGAAGTCCCTTAGGTCGAACTATCCTTAGCGTGCTAAGGTTTCTAAAGGCTGGTCAACACCAGTCTTTGATGTTTCATTATTACCAAAATAATTTGCAAAACGAACAAACAGCAAGGTCCTTCAGTGAACTTCGATAAAGCGCGAGGGAGATGACCGAATGACTTTGTAAATTTCCACCTATTCCTGGTCGTACGCCGACTACACTTTATTATAATTCCTCAAACAACAACTTGGTCTGCCTGTTTTCAATTTTACGTAGACAACTCTCCGTCACTTTTTGATGCACCAACACCAGGGAAATATCCAGACTTTCTGATTTAAGGTCTGATGGTTTTTCATGTGGTTTTCGTATCAATGTACGGGACTTGTTTTCTCAGCTTCCTGGAACTGCCTACCTGGAAAGTTCCGAAAAAAACACCTGGGTTTGTCTGTCTGCATATTCTGAGCAGTTATCACCCAATACTTGTTTCGAAAACAACGGCACTGCTAGACAGCCTGTGTTTTTTCTCCCATTACGTAACAATATCTGTCTGCCCTTCACTATGAGGCATTCCATTGGGTATTCGGCTCCAGCGGTTTTGTCATGCATATGAGCTTAAAAGTAGACCACGAATGATATTGCTGGTCTTTCATACGGGAGATTACACAACCCTCTCGTTATCTCACAAACATTCTTGTCCCATTACCCGAATTAGCCACACTTACGGATGCTAATATATTTAATGAGTCCCAAAGCTGTTATTAAACCTGGCCAATAATTTTGCCTAAGTATCTATCCAGCTTATTCTGGTTTATTACACACTCGCGGAATTAGTCTAAAAAATATTTGGCTGGTTGGCCGTTGCTCGTGCCACACATTAAGCAAGCATATGGTTGTTCATTTTGCCCTGTGAGCTAGGTCAACATGCATCATTGATTACGGTAGTTACTTGCCGAGAAGAGCATGCCATTAAAACAATGAGCCAAACTCCATCACTCCCTGTATTACCAGAAGGGCCACAGACAGATTAAGCAGTGGTTGATGATGATCGATAAATTCTAATTGCTAGATGAATATAATACCAGTGCTACTTATTCAGCCACATATTTGGCTGTTCAGAGCGTCAGTGGCATGCCAAGTGTCTGACCTTGTTTAACTAAGTGCATTCGAGCAGTCAGCTGAGCCTTTGTGGTTTCAAGAACGAATTTCTCAAAGGTCAGCTTTGTCTCAGCCACTCGCAACTAATTATCATTTATTTTTGAAGAGCATGGTCACAAACATAAAAAGTGAGTGCAGGCGATGAATGCGAAAGAGTAACAGGATAATATGGGAGAAAAGAGAGAAATGTCTCATTCGAAATCATGCCAAGGACAGTGCCAGTCTGATGAGGTGAATCCCAAAGTATGTAAAGATTTTGGTATGGGAACAGGCGTCTAAAGACTAAAAATGTACCTTCAGCTCCATGTGCCACGCATAAAAGTGTCGTAAGTACGCAGGGAGCCCACAATGGCAAGCAAACACAAGTCACTGACTGCGACCTTAGGAAGTCCCAGTCCAATAACAGCCTTAGCGGATTGAGGAAAGCAGATCCCTCGATAGGAGATGATCACCGGTTGGTGAACCAAAAAGTCGATATCACAACCGATGGCATGTAGGGCTGAGATTATGGCGAGGGAATGTTCATCAGCACCATACTTCTGCTTCTTCTCATTCCACACTATCTCTCCACGCCCATCCGAGACTATGCTGACGTCTATTACAGTTGCACGGCGATCTCGAACAGCGATTAGGTCAGGTTTGATGAACGACGTAGAAACAGTTACCAGCAACTATGATCCATTATTAACCCAATTAGTGTTAGCTAGCTTTACTATACACTAACGTGCGGATATTTTTTTCGAAAAACCAACCCTAATCTGATACTGTGCTTCTTGATTATCGTCATGGTGAAAGAAAGAAGGCCTTCGCTGCGGAGTTATTTATTAGGAAACGCCAACTGACCAGCTACAGACTATTGGACAGGGAAGCAAAACTCTCATATGCATCTTATTTACAAAAACTGAACATCCACCTTTTCTTGAACGCATCTTCCTGAACTTTTCTGGATATTCATTGGCTGTTGCTCAAATCCAAGCAAAAGCTACAAAGCGACTTCACTAATTACGCAATAGACTTCCCTCTTCAAAAACGCAAGGCGAATTTACAAAAGGAAACCATACTACTCGCATGCCCCGCTCATCAGTAGTACCACCGGTACAAGGTATCAGAGGATAGATGATAACTGGTGTGCTGCCGAAAGCTTGAATGTCCCGACCACTAGGTCGGAGGTCGTGCGTTCGGGACTCCTGCTTTTTCTTGATCTGCGCACTGCTGATGCGGTGGCAGTGAGCTTTTTAGCATAGATGTGCTTCAGGCAGCACAAGATGAAATCTCCGTTAGAATTCACTGTAAGGTCAGGAACATCCATAACCCGCAAGTAAAACATCAATAAAATTTCGCCAAAGGTGTACCACCTCTTACGTTTGGTCGTAACAGCTGAACGTGTATTGTCTCTCACCTTGTTTATCAACATAACTACTTGTGGGATTTATAAACAGTGTTGTCCAAACAAAGTTACTTGGTTTGGAATTCGCACCAGTTATTTTGGCTCTCACCCTTTTTGCCTTACCACAAAGTTATCGCATATGCTGGGATGTGTCGCGGCTCTGAAAACTGCCGTAACAGGAATCACACTGGTGGCTATTGGAACCTCACTACCTGATGCATTCGCGAGTAGAACAGCAGCACGCCTGGATGATTCTGCAGATAACAGTATAGGAAACATTACGGGTAAGTATTGTCTGGGAAATTTCAGAATCAAGGAAGCTTTGTGTTGACATTCAAATCGTTTTCCTAGTTAGATCAGTTAAGCTGAGCAACGATCGAGGGAAGTTGTTTCAGCAATCTCATGGCTCGATTATTTAGTAGGATCTGATCAACC